CCCGTTTTTCTCGCAAGGATACAAACATTCTGTGGGTTTTAGGATCAAAATATTTGTACCCATTATGTCGATCGTTGTAACCTACAAACACACAAGGAATGATTTTAGGATCAAATTTATTCTTTTTGGCGTTCCATGTATATGGATAACGTCTTGAACCAAAAACCCATAAAATATAGTAGTTAGAATTAGCACCATGTAATAAAAAATAAGGATAATCAAAATTAAGAGAAGAAGAAGAAGGCAAACGATTGATTAAAAAAGCTGCAGCGGTGAAGGCTTTGACCCATAGAAAAGTAGGTGCACCACTGTGAAAGATCATAGTTATCCTGAGTTCTCTGATAGTGCAATGACGACGTTGGACAATGCTAGTTAGTTCTGGTGTACGTGGACAAGAAAGTTGATGAATGATTCCTTGTTGAAAATGTAAAGAAAGTCTTTTATTGTCGAATTCATCACCACCATCAGAATGAAAATTTTTGATTTTTTACCAAATTGATGTTGCACATAACTCTCAAAAGCAAAGTAAACATCAATAAACTCAGACTTGGAACGAAGAAGAATTATCCAAACATAGTGAGAACAATCATCCACAAGGCAAGTACAATATCGAACTTACCAAGAGATAGAATAGGGGTTGGTCCCCAAATGTCACAATAAATTGTCAAAAACACCAATACTAGAAGAAGAAAAAGAATTAAAAGGTAATTTGCTAAGTTTGCCTAATTGGAAACTTTCACAAAACAATGTCCTCCTTTTTATTTGGACGAACATGAATTAAATTCTTAGTACATAATAATTGAACTGTTGATTTTTGCGGATGTCCAAGACGTTGGTGTCACAGCTCTTCAGTCCCTGAATTTTTTCTATTGGAAAAGTGTTCTTTCTTTGGTTTGGATAAAACATAAAGATCCCTTTATGTTGACCCACTATCATAGCCCGACCCTTTGCTCGTTACTTAATGCAAAAATTCTTGTAAGTAAATTCACAATTTAAAGGATATTGTGATGTTAATTGACTAATAGAGTAAATACGAGTTAATTGGGGTACATGAAGGACAGCACGAAGTAATAAATCATTCTTACCATAAGAAACTACAACATCCCTAACAACATCTATATTTAAGTAAGAACCACCGCCAATGATGTGATCCAGCCTAGCACCAACTTTCTCTATGACTTCCTCGCATCATTAAAGATCTACCTTTCTTTGTCTTATATTATCTTATTTATACATCCTATTCTGCTTTCACATGTTAAATATATGTTATCATGTCGTTCATATCATCTTATGCTTAGTTTAACATGTCCTTCATATCATTCATATATATGCTATGATTGCATATCATTTCTTAGGATATTATATTCACATGTTTCCATTCACCATTTACTATGAATTACATGATATATGATGTTCATGCATATAACCTATAGTCCACATTATTATATTAAGCATATGATAAGTTTATTATATGTTTAGTATGCTTCCATTATCTTAGGTTATACATATCATTCCTATGTTATATGATTATATGCATCCATTATCTTAGGTTATACATATCATTCCTATGTTATATGATTGCATTTCATCCATACTTAGGCATGCATTATACATACATACATATATATATATCTTATGTTGTAAGCTTTATTATATCTTTTACTTAACTTATCTTGTTTTCTTTTTGTGAAGGTACATTAGGCCAAAGGATGTGAGCTAGATTTAAACTATTAAATGAAGCTCAAAGCTAGTGGAATCAACATAGGACAACTCTATAGAAGTTCACGATCAAAGATAAGTAAATTTGTTAGCTGCACTTGGACACATAGTTGTTGAACAAATGATCTAACTCAGCTACTCAAACGAGTTGGAGAGCTGAAAAGATGCAATCCTCCATCAAACGAAAATGCTTTTCACATAAAGCCACTTTTCACAGTTCGTGTCTTTTCGCGAAGAGGTGCCTTTCTGATTCATGCTTTTTCACCATAAGCTACCAAGCTGTAACACCCTAAACAGTACGACACACAGTTGACCGATTAAGATGCCACAAGGAACCATCAGAGTGGCTAATCCAAAAATTTTTACGTTTATTTTAATTTAAAATGACCATTTTTGTAATACCCCAAATTTTTTTAGTGACCAAAAATATTTGTTTTTGAAAGTTTAATAGCCAAATTATAAAATTTGGAAAAGTTTAGGGACCTAAGTGGTAGTTTTCCCATAAATAATTTTTATTCCATAAATAGATAATTTAATTTTGAGAGTGCGGCTTTATGGAAATTAGATTCTTGATCTATAATTTATGTTGAAAACTAGAAAGAGTCAAAGTCGGGTAAGAAATCGGTAAACGGATCGAATAGAAATTTTGGGGAAAATTGAAGGATGATAAATTAGGTTTAAAAAATATTATTTCCTCATGTTAAAATGATTGAAAATAACATGGATCGTTAGATTTGAAGATTTATTTTCATGTTTAACTTGGACTGTTGGATTTAAATGGCAAGATTGAAATGTTTTTGGAATGTTGCCTAGTTAAATTGGAAAATGGTAAGAAAATTTGCTCATCTTTGAATTTTGCAAGATGATAAGGGTGATATGGCTTGGTTTTTTGGTAATTATGAAATTTCATTAAGAGAAATGTAATTTCCTCAATTAAATGAATTTAATATTCATTTAAGGTTAAATTAACATGAAATCCCAAGGAACTTTCATGAAACTTAGGCAATTTTTCAGCAACCAAGCCGTGTACCCCAACCTAAGGTAAGATAAAATTTCCTTTCAACTTTTTGAGCAATTTCCTTTGGTTTTTGGATAGTGCCGTGAAATAGAAAGTTGTTCTACGCGAAAAACGCTACCATCTGGTACCAATATTGCATGCTAATCTTGCTTGTGTTGAAAGATCCCAAATTTTATGGGTTGTGTTCATATTAGGGTTTATGAAATTGATGAAGGATTTTGATTTTTGTTGTTGTAAAATCATATACAAGCATGATTGATGATTAAAATCACTTCTACATGGCTATATAAGCTCATGTTGAATTTGGCCAAACCCTAGCTTTAGGGGAAAGAAGTGTTTTGATGAAATTTGATTAGGGCTTTGATTTTAGAGGTCTTGAAATGTTGAATCGAGGTTGATTTCATGTTTGAATCTAGTGAAAATCTTAAAACCCTAAACTACATACCATTCGACCTTGAGGAAATAGGTTGGGAAAAATTGTGGAAAAATTCTCATGGATTAGAAATGATGTTTGGAAGGTTCTACAAGCCTTAGAATTTTTTTTGAGCCAATATATACTTTTACAAAAGTTGAGGGACTTATTCAATAATTTTGAAAAGTTATGGGATAAATATGTAATTATTCAATAGATGATGTGCATTGCTTGTTGAAGGCTGAAATTGAAGTTACAATGTAAAATTTAGCCATCTTGGAAAGTTGGTTAAGTTTAAGTACAAAAATGGCAAATATTAGAGAAGTTAGTGACTTAATTGGTAATTATGGCATTGTTGAGGTTTTAGGATGGAAATTTAATGCTGGAAATTTATTGGACTTATTTGGGATTGAATTGAAAAATATTAAAAAGGGCTCATTATGAATAAAATGGAAAAATTAGTATGAATTTTAAAAGAATTCGAAAATAATAGTACTTTTAAGTATTATTATTATGTAAAATTTTTAGTAAGTATACTAACAATGTATTTTATATTTGTATGTGTGATTATAGATGCTTGTGTAGACCGTGATCAAATTCGTGATACAAGCAAATCAAAAGGCAAGGAAAAAGTTCAAGAACAGTCTGACTTTGTCAGTAAGGCATAATAGTGAGGCATACTAGGTGAGTGCATTTATTATGTATGTATATGATATGACGATGACTTGCGAAGATTTAACCTTGAATGTTTTTATAAAAGCGCATTTTATCATATTTTGAAATATTTTCATAAGGTTTATGAAAATGGTTTATGGTGATTTTAGGGTATGAACTACCCTAAAATAGATGGATGAACTTTTATATTATTTTAACAGCTATCGATGTTTCCGAATAAATGTTTAATCTACGAATTTGATTTAAAGGCATATTGTATGTGCATTGAGCATTTTTCCATACTTGGAGTATGATGGTTATCGATCAATTTTGTTTAATGCATATGTTCTATTTTCGTATATGTACCTTTGTGTACTTTCTACACTATGTGTGCATTCATGATATTCATAATGAGTTGTGTGAATATTCATTTATATATATATATATATATATAGTGTCGCTCTTGCTACAGTACATATACTTTTGTTTAGCACTTATGTGCAACTCATGTACCTTGCATTTTCATCTATCATACATTGGGCTGAAAATGGATATCCATTTTGGATTATATTGTATGTTAAGTATGTAGGGCTTATGACATAACGATTCATAAGTTAATTGAAGGAAACTTGGCTTACCAAGTCAGTTTTATGTGTTATTATATTTTATAAAACTAAATTCATATTTTGATCTTTAATGAAATAATTATGTTTTGTTACACCACGATTATTTTATTATGACTCAGTAAGTGAATACTTAGCATGTGATGGTTTCACACGTAGGTAATAGCATACAATCAGAGTAAGGAGTGTAACTGACATCGTAAATCAAAGGTTTCCTCATCAATAACTGTATTACATCTTTAGATGTTTACTTTTGATATTACTAATTGGCATGTATTAGTTATATGATGATGCTCTGGTATGTATTTGACAAATGGGTTGTAATATTATATTATGTTCGAACTTGAAGACTATTTTATATACAAGTAGTCAGTGAACGTTTATAATATTATTATATTAAATTGTTTTTTTAAAAAAACAAAAGCTTACTGGTTTTCAAGTACGAAAATGTTTTAAAAGTCATGTGACATCTATGACTCGTGTACGGGGCGTATACGGGGAATGAGTGTTACAATTTTCATAAGAAAACCATCCATAAAATATATTTGAAACTTCACATTGGAGAGCTCCTAAAATAAATATATACATTTAAAATAAATAAACCACTTTACAATAAAGTTACGACTCAATACAAATGGGTCTATAAATATACATGCCCTACAAAATTTAAGATGTACTCTGCACTGGTCTGAACCTTGGTCACTTGAAGGCTCCTCGTATGCTCACCTAATCTGCGTAAGGAAACAAATTCCAAATGCTGAGCTAAATAGCTCAGTGCCACACTAACAACTAGATCATACTAAAAGTGTATCACTAAAATGCTCAAGCTATCAAGTTTTCTGCTTTGGTGAGTATACTTGTATACTCACTGTCTACTCTATGGTAGACATTATGGTGCGGCTGAGGGTTCTGCATCTTGGAGCTCACACACCCATCTAGTCTATTGAGGGTGATTTCATGGAACTATGCATCAGTTAACATCCTCGACTAAACCACCCCTTGCGAGTGTAGGGCCTTGGCCCTAGTTAGTCAGCTTAAAGTGTCTTGCGCACTACCTAAAGATATCCAGACTGATTCTATACATTTGACACCCTTAACATTACTAAAGGAACTTGGTTTTCTTGGTCGTTTCCTGAACATCAAGCAAGGCTAGTTTTATGTTACCCTAATTGATCTCGTTTCTAAGTGTAATCAAGCATTATCATTGTTTCCAATTGTGTCACCACTTTTCATCAATTATCACTCGTGTCACCGGTTAGTATTTCACGATATTTTCTTTCTTATTTTCATATTTATTATCTACTGCAAAATTTCAAGATAGTGAAAACTAAAAGTCAAAGATCTACCGCTATGGAATTTAATCTTGAACCAAGCACTTCTAACTCCGTTCAATCTTCCTAGCCTCACAATAATGCCATACTTAAAAATTCTTGAGAAAATACACCCTCACAGGCATCATCATCATCACATTACCTCACCATTCCATCTGAAGAAGAGTTGCGATGTTACTTTAAATTTAATGACGATGAACAAATCCGATTCAACAACATCCAGAGTTAAAACTTTCAAGCTTGTAAGTACATTCCTACTCGTACTTTAGATACTTTGCATATGAGACATTCCGTTACACATTACTTTAATGCTATTGGTTGTACTTTATATCTTGAAATTAAATGTGGAACATACTATGAATTGGTTCTTGAATTTTACACCACATTTAACTTTTTTCCATATCGAGTTGTTAGTATAAATTGTCCGGATGTTATTTTATCGCTTGTTAGGACAATACTTCAGGATGTAAATTTCTGAATTAATTTTTCCATGAGGTTCATGATAGATGTCATAGATCACAACCATCTGACATCTTTACTTGAGATTCCATAGGATATTAACACCGATTATGCCTACTCCATGTTGACTTGTTCACCAAGACAATCCTTCAACGCACAAATGATGAAAGGATGGTATATCTACGACTCTGCACTTCAATACATATACATGTTTCTCGCGTTCAACTACTCAGGGAATAATGACAATACACCTAGTTTGAGTAAAGTGAAGTATTCTTTCTTTGGTTCATGTTTACCGACATAAAAGTTAACCTAGGATTTTGGTTCGTACGAGCTTTCGAGAGCGTTGTGGTCTATAATAAATAATTGATTCTCGACCTTTACATAATTCATCTCACATCTAGACTTTTCTCATATTTTTTACCATTGAACAATTTACTTATGCTTTTTCTATGGATGGTTTAGATTTGCGATGCTTGGAGACAATAGGATTACTTGCTAGCACACCTAATGCACCTTTCATTGTACCTCATGACACCACAGCACCTCGAAGCGAACGTGTCTTTCTCTAAAGACAAACACCACCACTGGCACTGGCAGATGATCCGTGGACGAACATACAACATCAACTCAACGAGATGTATGCTCATCTGCATTCCCTTGAGTCAACTCTTGATGAGATTCTCTCCTATCTCCGCTTGGCTACATCTCGCCGAGGTCGTGACCAAGGCCATCACTAAACATAGGCATTATCTCTATTCCTTCTCCTATGCTTTAATTTTATATATTGGGGCAATATGCTTTAAGTGGGGGGTAGAGAATACTTGCATCGAATTATCTCTTGCTTGTTTAGATACTTGAAATTGAGTTGCCTTGATTGGTTTGTTGATATCTCTTGTTATTAATTTTGAATTTTGCTTTGTCTAATTGATTACCTTATAAGTTTATGATCACACTTTTATCAGATTTAGGGTGTATGATTAGTATTTTTCATTAAATTTTTTCTCTTGATGTTCCATGAATTCTTTAGTTGATAGGTTTCTTGACTCGATACACATTACCCTTGTTGTGAGATTTGAACCTAAACGAGCATACCCTGTTATTCTTAATTATTTGTTTGATTGAGTGTGATGGATTAATCTTGATATTCTAGAACTTGTGATTAAATGTATATCAAGACCACATGTTGAAATTTGATGCTTTAAGATGATTAAGGAACTTATGATTAAACCACTTCTCTACTACGCAAATGGCCTACCCATTTATTTATATCCACTAGTGAACCAAATTTGAGCCTTTAAACTTTTCTTTATTTTTAACACATTATAAAACCCAAAACCTTTCAATTTTATTTTCACCCTATCTTGTTACCCTTATCGAGACATGATATAGATTTGTTTCACAAACAAAAAATCAAGAGAAGAAAGATAAAGCATTGAATATATATATATCGAACAAAGCGACGAAAAAAGGGAGCTGAAAAATAGCAAGGAAATTGAAAAAAAAGTAAGTGTTTGATTATGTTTCTTCTGATGTGTTTACTATATTGAATTTGTGGCTTGAACACATATATTCGACATCTCTTATCTCGACTTTTGAACCCAATTTTTTGGCCTTATCCCTACCCAAACTAAGCCCCGTTACATCCTTATTAAAATACCCTTTGATTAAATATATCTTGTTCGAATGAGTGGTGGAGACATGATTTTCGTACAAGCCTATAGTAATGTCTTTATTAATCTCGTCTTTGAGCGGTTTCTTTTACCCTAAAAACTTTGAACAATATTAAGTGAACCCTTGTGAGGTATTGAGTTTTGTTACAATTTGTGATGGTATTAAGTGAACCCTAAAAAGGAGGATATCAACGCTAACTATAATTCATTAGGAATTAAAAACTGTAATTGAATTTAAAAATTTGATATTATATTATTTATTAGGAATTTAGTTTGCATAAAATTATTAGTTTCTTATTATTTAATATTTTTAATATTTATTAATTAGGATTTTTTTAGTTTGTTAGAATTATGAGTTTGAATACTCTTAAGAGTTAGTAATTTATTTTCTTTAGGTTTTCTCAAGCTATAAATACCCATCAGAGTGAAGCTTGACATATGTACAAGTTTAGAATTCAGTATAGAATTGGTTTTGGCTTCTTTTTTGTTTTTAGGTTTTCAGTTTAATAAAATGATTTTTCTTTTTCATCTTCTTTCTTTCTACACGCCAAGCATGATCTCTACCATTCTTGGCTAAAAGTTTCTTTAGTTGACGACTAAGCGAAGACTCTATCCATTCTCGTGAGAATTGTAAAAACACTTCACATCTTTAGATTATTTCTTGATTTTTGGTGGACAAGGAGAGGCAATCAAAATTTCTTCAAACATCTTAATATCATCAATTGAAGGAGTGCACATTGGCTTGATCAATGTTGTGATCTACAGTTGGAGAGGAGAGTCGGTTTATAGCAAATTCTATTCCCTAAGAACAAACTTAGCGACAGTTCGGTAAGAGAAATCAAGATCAAGTTCAATTCTCATTGAGACACCATAATCAGAGCACATGCTTTTCCAGTTCCTAAACAACATTAAAATTAATATCGATAGCCAATATTAATCCAAACAAGGGTTGGATTTCAATGATTGGGTTTGGAAATTAGTTCACCAGAGAGAAGACCAAGTTACAAGGGTCGTTCCTTGTAGACTGTAACTGACAAGTATCCGAAGTAAAATCTATTTCAGTATCGAGACAGATTGAGGTAAAGCGAAGCTAGATGTTATTTGTCATCTTAATTATTCCTTTACAATTTACTTTTCTTAATTTTTTTATTGCCTGAACTTTAGTTTCATTTTATTTATTTAGTTTACTTGATTATTATAAACCCTTATTTTTTATTTTCTTATTTTACAGATTTCTTGGCTAAAGATCAATTCATATTGATATTAGAAATTTCTGAATCCTTATGGACCGACACCTTCTTCTCTATACTACATTCTTTGCATAATTATCCGAGAAAATGATTAATTATTTGATAATTACGACGCTTCTCACTATGACTACATTTAATTTTGTCGATGTACTAAGTAATTAGCCTTTTTGTCTATTTTCTTAATATTTATGTAGGATTTTTGAAATGGAAAATTTAATAATGTAACTTTCATGTTCGAACTATTATTATTTTAAAAAATTATTTAAAAATATTTCATATATATAATTATTTGATGTGTCATATATACTATTATAATAATTTGTATTAAAAATATAACTTGGTTTAATATTTAGAGGTTATATAGTCGAACAAAACCAGAAAATAGATTTTTAAAAATCACAGTAATACCCTCTACCTGAAGACCAATATGTAGTTCCCCAAAAATACATCCATAAGAACTTACCCTAAGCCCATTGGACGTAGAAGTTAACCTAAGAGAATACCTTGGGAAATAGAGTCTACACAAAGGAGTACTTTGGGCCTAAAAGCCTATCCAAGGATCACCTTAGGTTGTAAGGAATTACCAGCTTGATCAGAGCTGAACCTTAGAACTCCATAAACCTACCTAGACAACACTCCAAATAAAATCATATCATACAGATAGTAAACAATAACAGTAATATCAGAGATCAAGAGCCATATGTTTTTATATTAAAAAGCAGAGATTAGTGATCATGCTCTCTAATCAAACATCGATATGCAGTTTATCCAAACTGCATCCATAAGGACTTACTATAGGTCCATTGGGCTTAAGAGCCAACCTAATGGAGTACCATGTGCATAGGGAACACACTAGAGGATCCAATTATTTTATAGAGGCACTTAGTAGTTATCAGGATTGGAAAACATGATACTTTTGTAAATTGATCGGATTTCAGGAACGAGGTCCCTATTAAAATAGTTCGATTACTAATGGGTCTTGTATGACATTTAGAAAATTGATATTTTAGGACCATATAAGATTTAGGTGCATCTGAAAGGTATTTAAGAACTTTTACATCATAATTATTTAAGGTTCAGATATAACACGAGTGATTTAATCATTCAGGCTATAATGGCATTTTGGACATTTAGATTCCTGAAGAATTCTTAGCAACTTAATCCAATAACAGTAAAATGATGATATAAAGTATCTAAGATTTATATTGAATTATCAGAATTTTGAGCAGATTGAATGAATAAACCTCAACATTGCGATACTTACCAATCATTCAAACTGCTATACTTCACAATTATTTGCTTCCTAATACTGAGTGTATTAGTTGAACTAATCACCTTTAGAATCATCATTGAACTGATCTTGAGGAGACATACATGCATTCAGATGATATTCCTTCCTAGTATTATAATAGTAACTGGGATTTCCAACATACTTAGGTTGCACTCTAAAAATTCTTAGGGGCGTTACAATATTTAAAGCTTCACCGATACTTTCAGAACTTATCCACAGTCATTTCATTAATCCAGATCATGAGGTTATTAATGTCATTTCAATATTAAAAGTTATTCTAGTTGTTTCATAATTCTATAGTAATTTGGCCATTTCAATCAATTCAGCCATACAATGTGCTTCTGACAAATTGATCTTTATATATTTATTTAGAAATCAGAATATCCATGTATGTTGCGATCTCGAAGGTTAGAAATTGATTATCAGGGTTTTTAAATCAAATCATGAATTTAACTGATGAATTCGTAGTTTTATCAAGTCAAGAATGAATTCCTAGGCCATTTTCATTGTCAAGGGATATCTAGGTTTTTTTTAATTTCAATGGTATTTCAGTCAATTTGTTCAATTTCGTCATATACATTAGTTTTGGAAAATTGGTCTTCAGGTGTTTATTCAAAAATCGAAATTCTAAGTCCTTTGACATCTTGGAGGTCAAAAATTAGTTATCAAAATTTTTCTAAACAAAACAAACATTTAACAAGTGTATTAGTGGATTTATCGGATCAAGTAGGTCTTTTCTGGGTTACTTCCACTTTCAAGGACAATCCTTGTCTTTTTACATCATAAGGGTATTTTCATAATTTCTCATCCAAGTGTTTTCGGCATTTAACCTTGAACAAAAATAATCAAAATTTACGGATCCTAGGTTGAATTGATTTACTAATTAATCATTGAGCTTTAATTTATTTCTTATCGATCTTTCAATTTCATATGCGATTCATCTGAGTATTATTCAATTACTAACTTTTTACCGAATTCAGTACTAGTTTCAGAATAATCATCGATACTCACATAACCAATCATTTTCTTTCTTGAAATTACCAATTATGAATGAGTTTCATAAAGCATACAAAAGGTCGTAGATATTACCTTGATTTTTTAGCTACATCAGTCGATCATTTCAACTCCATTCGATCACTCTCAGTCTTGGACTTGACGTTGAATAGTACCTCATATACTTATCAAAACAAAATGAATCAAAAACAGTTCTTAAACAGGAAAATTTGATCGAATCGAGAGAAAAACACTTAAATGGACCACAAAACAGACTGAGAATATAAAAAAAATTACAATTAGGGGTTCTGATAAAAATTAATGGTTAGCAACACCTAATTAACATCGACCAACTATCAGTTAATGGTTAATGACTCGATCAACGATCAACACTATTCGACTCGATCAACTCGACTTGGATCGATCAACGTGGTTCATCTCAGCTCGGTTTATCAGCTCGGCTAGGGTTAATCGGCTTAGCTCAAGCCATTTTAGAAACACATTCAGCTGAAAAACAACCCCCACATATAGGGATGGCGTGTGGAGCGTGTGCTATAGTCGAAATGACCGAAGACAATTCGATTACACCCTGGGTATCTTATTACCACAACTAGCCTATATCTACGCAAAAACCAACCAAAACTGAGAAGAAATAATAAAAAATGGTGATCGAGGTTTACCCACGATGTAAATATGGAGGGGCAGCAACGGAGTAACGATAAGGGACCCAACCACCTAGGTTTTGATCGGAATTGCATGGAGAACACGGTGGTGGCACTGTGTGGCTCTCGATAGGGGAGCTTTAGGTTTTTGAAGAAGGTTTGATGCTCATATAAAGAAGAATTGTGGGCCTTCACGATAAGTGGTTGATTTGGTTTTGATCGCGGGAGGTCACCAATCACTTTGGTAGTGGTAGTGACGAGCACAGTGAATGGATGACGCGATTCGGGGGGAGTAACGACGATGATGGGGAAATATGGGATTAAGGGATTTCATTCTAATTGGAAAAGGGAATTGGAGATTTAAAAATCCCATTTGAGAATCTTCAAAATATATTATGCTTAAAAAAATACAAAAATAGTGCCCTAGTTTAATGGCAATGCTTTTTGTAACATGTGGGTTCAAAGCCCCACAGTTGCATTTTCACCTAATCCTCTTTATTTGTGTAGACCAATGATGGTAAAATTTTGGGACAAGTCCTTAAACTTTTGGGATTTATAAACTATCCTAGAACTTCATGAACTTACAAATTGGTCCCTAAAAATTAATCAATGTTAATTGAAATCAAGGTGTCATAGAAATCCCGTGATTTCTTCTCAGAATAGGAAATGTCCCTTTAACAAATAATTCAAAATAAATTGATAAATGTTTGATAAAAGGATCACATTTTAAATTTTGATTCAAATATACAAACTCCACTACTATGACAACATATGCGATCAGGTACCAATTTTGGGTGTTATAGGAGTGATAATCCTTCCCACGTGTAACCGACTCCTAAACCCTTAAAAATGAATATTTGGTAAACGCATACCAAATTTTTGTTTAAAATGATTTTTCTTAAAATTATTTTAGAAGACATTTTTATGTATTCGACCTACCTAACTCGAAAGTCGATGGTGACTCCAAATGAAATTTTATCAAAAATCCAATTTTCCTTAAATAAGTCATAAATATAAAATTAGGGTTTTTCTTTTTTAAAAAGGGGAAACTTGTTTTGAAAAATATGTCACGACAATATATACAATCAAACAATGTAAAGGCCTAGGGGTCTTGGTCCTTAATGTTTTGAGAAATTTATATCATGTCCTTTAAAATTTTTAGAAGTTTTAATTAGGTTTGCTCAATTTTTCAAACAAAAGTTTTAAAATTTCTGGTTTAATTTTAAAAAATTTGAATATATTTAACCAAGTTCCCTTAAAATTTTAATTAGATCCTCAATTGTTTTTAATTCTCATTGAGTCATTCATTTTTGTAAATTAGACATTTAAAGTTTTCTATCAAGATCAACCACTGATACAATGTATCAAATCTAGGGTTGTAAATGGACAGAGTGTTCATTGAACTATTAGTGAATTGTTTGAATAATGTTAGTTTATGTTATTATTCTGCTAAATAAACGAGTATGAATAATTTTTTTATGTTCATTTAATAAATGAACAAACAAGAAAAAAAGTGTCTTCGGTTTGTTTATGATCTTGAACAGGCTCGTTTATTGACTCATTTTTAAGCTTGCTTCCGGTTCTCATTTTTCTTTTATTTTTACATTTTAGACATTGGTGAAGTAAGGACTAAATTGAACACAATGTAAGCTTTGGAGTTGAAACTATGAAGGCTAAGAAGCTAAGGGACTAGTGACATAATTCCGCTATTTTTGAACATATAAACGGACATGTTCGCAAACACTAAACGAATATGTTTGCGAACACTAAATGAACATGTTTACGAACACTAAATGAACATGTTTACGAACATTAAAGGAACATGTTCGTGGATAATAAATAAACGAACTTGAACACTTTCAAAAATAAATAAATGAACATAAACATGAACATGATATTAAGAATTAAACAAACATGAACCAATCATGAACACCTTCAAAAATAAACAAACAAACACAACCTTGTTCGTTCAAGCTCGATTCAATTACACCCCTAATCAAATCATACATTGGACTAAAGAATCAATTATGATTTTTTTTGACAAATTCTAAATCTAATCCTAATCCTACCTAGAGGGAAGGTGGAGGGGAAACTCTAGGGGAAGAAGGGAGAGTGCTCATAGTATGTCTAGAACTCATGACTTGAGTGAATATGAAGGAACATAGATGAGTAGCTAAACTAACCAACCAAATGTGCTTGCTCACATAATCAATTATAATTTAATTGATCGAATTAATTTTCAATGACATAAATAACGGATAAGGAAGAATGAGGGATGAATATGTACTCTAGTTCAACTACGTAGCCCACAAGACTAATGAGTAATTAGTTACAACTTCGAAATCATTTAGGTACAACAATTAAGACCTAAATGGACCCACCACAACAAATTCTTAGTTGGGTTTAACTAACGAATCATTTTCTTTTGTCCAATTCACATATTGTCTTTTATGTTAGGTTAAGTTAGGTTACAATTTCAAGAGAAAAACATAGGCATGGACAGCACTAATGATTTCACATGGGAAATTAGTTGCTCTGGTCGATGCATGGCATGTGATCGTGCTGATGCTACCTTTATATTTGAATTATTATTTATTTTAAAAATATTATTTTATATTTGCAATTTTTGACATATTATTTAAAATATTATAATAATTTGTGTTACAAAATATTTGCTATAGTGATTATGATATTGTGAATTCGAGTGTGCTTGGATGCATTTACTTTTGATTCAGGGATTGAAGGGTTACGATAGTGTACGCATTGTAATTTGAATCAAAGAAACATTATTTGATATAATGTGAGAGGGTATTTGACTTATAGAATTTATGATTATATTTGGATTATATTATTTGATATGTTAATGGAAAGTTACAATATCTTTTTGATTTATTTAGAGTAAAATTACAAATTTGATTGACATAATACAAGATCATATAAGAGATTATTTTATTAGCATGAATAAAATTACCTTAGTGGTTAAATGAATGATTGTTATTCATAGAGGTCTCGGATTCAAGCACCGACGACTGTAACATGCTGATTGAGCATTAATTGTCAAATGGTTGAGAGTATTTAGAACAATTACTACTTTGTAATCACCTTAGCTTATGTAACACCCCTTCTTGTATTCGTCGCCGAATATGAGCCGGAAATGTCACATATAACTTATAAAACATTTCTTATCGAGATCAATAAAATTTTGTTTCTTTAAACTCATTTATTTCTAAGACAATAAATGCTAATCCATTTAATCACGTAAAATCCAATTCAATTTTTCTAACAATCAAACCAAAATCAATTTCAAGCAACAATCTAACAGTTCATAACTATAACATATAATAAATAAAATTGTTTAAACTAAAATTCATCTTAATGTCATTTTAACATTAATTTATCAAATTATTAATATGCAGTCCATTTTTATAACTAGTATATCTACCTACTATTTATTAAAAACTAACCTGTACAACTTTTACACCCTATTTAAAACATAGTTTATACCAAAATACCATTAACACATAAATATACATGCCAACTAGAAATGTATTTCTCACTAGTAGATGCCAAAATGCTCCCTATTCCACTCGATATCCTTTACCTATGCGTGAAAAATCATCACACGCTAGGTATAACTAAGTGAGACATTTCCATAACTTAAAGTAAAGCATATCAGTATATAAAAAATAAATCATATAAAATAATACATAAAATATCATATAATAACATATGTTAATATAAAATTGACGTATATCGAAGTCACTTACTGGTAAGTATAACTTAAAAATCAACAGTTCATATATATATATGAAGCATTTAATGTCAATTCAATGTATTCGATGAAAAATTTACTTTCAAATAAATCAATCAATCCTACACTTTTCAATTTCATTCAAATCATATCCTGAAGTACATAAATGAGAATGCAAAGTATGCGAGTCACTAAGAATGCACTTTTAGTGCCAATCACTTGTATAGATACCATCAACACTGTATCAATTCAACAATAATCAAGAATACCATAGTACCATTATCACTCTACTATGTATTGCATTCCTAAGAGTACAATAGTACCATAAACACTTTACTATGTACTTAATCCTGCTGCTAACATGCCAACTATACCAAGGACTCTCAATGTATATATAATGGGCATTTCTATTAAAATCACATATAATTCATTTATCAAAATATCCATAAATATAGATATGTCAAGAATATCTCTTATAGCAGTGTTGTGGGCAGCTCATATCCACAATCATTCAAGTACCATTTAACAAAATACTATGATAATATCATAATATAAATCAAATCATTTTCCTTTCCAAAACGTTCAAAGTTGGCTTATCGCAAGCCTTTCTTATATCACATATAATAGTATAAGATAAAAATGCACTCAATTGATATGCCTTGCTAGATAACCTCAAACAACGATACAAACCTTACTCCTTAACTTTTTCATTAACTTTAAGCTTGTTTCGATCTCGGTTCAGTTCAGGATTTACACATACATCATTTACAAAATACATACAATGAAAAGTACAAATTAGTACCTTGCCATACATAAGTTCATGGCAAGAAAGAATTTTCTAAAAAATTCTTTTGATGCTTATTCGATAATAAATCTGTTTCGTATTATCCAATTCAACCTTAAATATCAAAATTCTACTAACATTTCATATCATAACCTCAAATCTCTCAATACCCAAATCAAAAGAAAATTCAAATAACAATTCCAAATTTCACAATTTAATCATCAAAATGAATTCTTTCAAAATTCATTCTAATATTTCCATAATTGTTGAAATGGTCCCTTTCCATTTAACCTTAGATTCAAACTTCCATCAATTCATTTAAGCATTTTACATCAATTTTACATCAATTTCCTCGACAAACGTATCATTTCTACACATGTCGAATTAGTCCCTTAACACTTCTATGCTTCCAATTTGATTTAAACAACATTCTAAAGCTTGTATAACCATTAGTTCATCATTTCAAACCTTAGAACAACGTTGAATAAAATCCAACCGAAAAGTTAAAATCCAACCAATACGAACCACAATCATGAAGAAGAAACGAAACCAAACTCAAGTACGAAACTCCCACCCGAATTATTTTGAATAAAGTTTCCTAGACCAACACAAGCATAATTTCTTCAAAAATAAACATAAAACTCCTTCTCGAAGCAAGTCTCTCGCCAGTGATCCTTTAAAAACTTACTATCTAAATTATCAAAAGAATTTTGATAAACACCTATCAAGCACCAAAAAACCCCAACCAACACACACCGAACAGACAAGACTTACCCAAAAAGAGTGAAGCTTTAGCCTGTAACCATCTT